CCCCAAAACCCCAAAACCCCATCTATAAAAATCAACTTATTTTGAATAAAAATGTAAGTGAGCTTAAAATTAAAACTGATATATTTATATTAATAATTTCAACATTTTCATATTTGTTGTAGTTTTCTTTGCTTTATTTATAGACTTAGTTACTATGATGATGGCTGTTAATATTACTGCTGCTGTTTTATTTAAATCGGTTAGTGTTAAATATTTGAAGAGTGAATTACTGAGTTATTGAGACTTGACTTGTTCATCGATTAAATCCCGTTTTAGATTAAACTCAGGTTCTGAGATACTCCACTGTTCTATGTCTTAACTATTTACTTCTTTGTAATTTTAATCTTTGAAAGGTCAAACTTCTTATTATGACTTTATGATCTATTTTTTATAATAAGATTCTTGATCAGACTGCTATCCTCCTTGCTTAAGATTGAGGTGTCCAGAATTCTGATATTGCTTGGAGTTTATTATGAGTTCTTCTACAGAGCTCCACTTTTAAGACCTTGTAAAGTCATGCAGTTGCCACTGCTCAGTCCTGGCTCTGAAGGAAGAGTCGAGCACTGCTGTAAATAAATTGAAGGCACTCCACCATTATTAGGATTAGTATCTCCATTTATCATCCCACTAGAAGTGTTCACACCTCCTGGCAAAGTAAACAGCACTCCGGCAAAATTAGTATAATAGTTGCTGTTGAAGTTTTACAGAATCTAAATTGTTCTTTTCTGAGTAGGGAACATTTAGGACAGAGTGTCTTCTGTAAAAGTTGATAGTGTGAAGCCGCTATTTCCATTTGTTTGATTATTGATTATGTCTTTTTTACAGGTAGTGACATCTCTGGTAACCTAAGCAATCTAGATTTTATTGTGTGTTTGATTTTAAAGAAAGTTTTAAATCATATTAGCTGTCATCTAATGATTATTTAGGATTATTGGATTCTTTGATTAAAGCATAATATTCTAGGAAATAGATCCACTACCTTGATTAATTTATGAACTTTATCTGTTGTTGAATAGTAAACTTTATTTTAGTTATATGCTTTTGTAGTCTGCCTTGCTCTCTTCTAGGAATAGCTGGCTTGGGTTCATGTTGTTAGCTCCAATCTAGATTTGATTCATTGGTAGCTGGATCTGGTTTAGGTCTACTAAATCATCCAAATCATACATCTCTGTGCAGTCTCTGATAAGCACCTCACTTGTTGATCTATATAACTAGCGCTTATCTTTATCTTTGGTATCCTCAAAAGACTCATTCATAAAACTACTAGCTCTTGACTCTTCAAATTGATTCTAAATACTGCTAAATTGGTTATTGTTACCATTGTTAACATTTAATTAATTATTTAGCGTTGGTGAATTACTATTGTGTTTTTAGTTTAGTTTGCTTTTGTACTAATGATACTATTGAATGTTGAGTTGGAAAGAGTCATTTTTATCATTGGTTTGATAAGATAGTTAGGTAAAGTTTAGCTAGTTGCTTTCAACTATATTAATCTCTCTTTAATTTTCCATTTAGATACTCAGAAAGTTGTTATTCTAGACCATCTCGTTCTTATTAAAGTATTGGAAAGGATTATTTTATAAATTCCTTTGCTCAATTTATTCGTTATTGAACTTGTGACTGCTAAATCTGTTTGGCACTATTACCTCGCTCTCAAAATTAGATCTATGACTTTTGCAGCGCTTATATTTCTTATCTCTTTCATTCTCTTGTTTTCTTTGACCAGACTTGCTGCCCATCTAATCTTACTGATTTTTGCTGAATATGACCACAGCCTAGTTTATGATAGAATCCATATTTTTAGAGCAAGGAGTTTCTCTTGCTGAAAGTACTCTATACATTCCTAACTATTCAGAGTTTCTACATTCAATATTTCTCATTAAACTTCTGTGAGAATTTTGAGGCTTTACTTAATTGTTAGAGTTCATTGAACTAGAGAATTCGCTTTGTTTCTCAGTAATAACTTCTAGTTTTTGTAACTATTTCTTATATTGCTTTTTGTTGATAGTTCCACTGTTATTCCATAGTTGGTTATTTTACTGGTTTTCTAGCATTTATTAGGTTTGAGTCAGCTCAAGGTACTCTTCCTCATCATCTTCGCAGCAATTTTAGTTCGGGGATTAATTAATTTCTGACTGGCTTTATGCAAGTTAATCTTTTTACATACTTTGATCTATCTATGAACTCGACTAAGGAGAAAAACTGCCACTTGATTCATCTTAGCCATCAATCATCGAACTGTCATTGTTTTTACTATTTCTATTTTCTATTATGGCTATTGCTCCATTATTGAACATCTTTTTATTCTTATCTATAAACTCTCTCGATTTCCTAATTGATATTTAACTGCTTCTTTGGCTCTCATCATCATCACTTGTAGTCCAAGGTAAAGGCTTCCTCTCTTCTCTGAGAAGTTATTATTTCATAAGCAATTCCTACTCTATTTTTAATATAATATCCTTTTCAGTCGCAGTCTTCAGTAAGAAATCCATTTCAGATGGCACATCGAGTAGTTCATACAGTTAGACATCTTTAAAATTTTATTTATCAAATGCTTGATTTCTTTCAATCGTTCCTAGAGCAGGAAGTTGCTGCTAAAATGAAATTTGTGAGTTATTTAGAGTTTGATTCATATTCCCATTTAAAATGGAAGAACTTTAGGAATGGATCCTCTTCACATTATGCTTAACCTCACTGCTTACTGAGGAATCTTTAATGGTTTATTCATTATCACTGCCAATACTTTATCTGTTCTGATCTCTAGGTGTTTTATTTTTATGTGTTCTCTCATTTTGCTACTATTATTATTGTATCTAGATTTACTTGTTTTACTATCTCTTTTTTCTCTCTTGCTTGATCAATTTCTTTATTTCTCTTTCATGAATCATAAAGAAGTATTACTTAGCGAGAATTCTTTTCTCATCGTCAGTTTTCATATTTTTCAAGCATTCATATTCATCTGGAAACATCTTGAGGCGTTCTGTTTCAAACAATAGTGTCTGTTCAGCATCTGGGAAATCATTTTCTAAGTCATTCTCAAACTTGCATTGCTAATGAACAGCTCCTTAAATCACTGGATTAGCCATGCATTATTCTACAACTAGTTAGCCCTCTGCTGAAATCACAGATCTTTGCGAGGTAATTTATCTTGATGAGAGTTACTGATATTGATTTGCCTAATTTTAACCTCTTCCAGAATGTTTTCTACTGCTATGAGGACCTCTTTATGAATTTAAACGATCTCTCTCACTTTATTGCGAAGGAGGTAAAGGAGGAATGCGATTTGAAATTTAATGCTATTCCTTTTTGTTGTTATTGTTTATTATATGAATCGGGAGTCTAGGTATATTTGGTTTAGTTATATGCTCATTTTAATTATTTATTATTTCGACACCTAGTCTCTATTATGGCTAAGATCTTCCTCTTTGTGATAGCTGTTAAGCTAACTAACTTCTCGGAGTTGTTTTTTCGAGTTCAAATTATCTTTAAGAGTTATAATCAGAATTTCTAAATTCCTTGACAGTTATTTTTCCACTTTAACTAAAAACATCACACATTTCTTCCATTTCTCTTTCAACTAACTTAAGATTACCCAAATATTTATGATTTAGCTTATGCCTTGCCTAGACAAGCTCATTTACTGCCACATTTTCTATTTTATCCATTATACTGAAAATTTGTGTTCTATTTTTCTCATAAACCTAGTCAATGTCTTTTAAAGAACGCTAAAATTATGCATTTAATTCACTGTCGGTATGCTTTTTTTGTTTGGCGAAATCAATTTTATGCTGAAGTACCTTACATCGCTTTTTAAATTTTTATATGTCACTAGCTAAGTTACTCAAAAGGTCATCCCATTCTGAGTAGCGTATTTCATACTCATTCTGTATATTTTTGGCTTACAGTTTAATTTAATCCCAGACATTTACTGGAACTAAGAAGGATTCACCTTTTTAATCATAGGTATTTTCTATAAATGAAGATTACTCGTCAATGAAGTCATTCAACTTTTGCAGCTCCTAAGTCATGTCATAGGTTTTTATTCTCAATTCCTCAATCTTATCAAAGTTACTTATTGTAGCATTTTTTTATTAATTCTGATTATATTAGTCGTGGTGACCATCTTCCTAAATATAAGATTGACTTAACTTTTGTTTCTCTTTATTCTAAACTTTTGAACGCTTACTTGTATTTTAACTTTTTGCTGTTGATTTTGATCTAATTTTTGCTTCATTTTTATCTGCAATATTAGAATTAGAATATTCAATAATTTTTCTTTTCTTATTGGCTGGCTTTGTCTCTGTTTCAAAAGAGTTTTCTATTGAGGAACTGATTTGTTAAGCATTTTATTATTTATGAGACTATATATCTGACGCAACATAAGGGGAAACTTTGTTATTTTAGGTTATAGGCAAATTTAAATGATTTTTAGATTTCAAATTCACATCTTGGTTTCTTTAAGCCTTATTTCTTTGCTTAACATCTTCATATAATTTATCCATCTCTAAATATTTCAATTTATTTATAAGTTTTTTATTAATCCAATTAACTATTCTCTCGGGGTTTTGGGGTTTTGGGGTTTTGGGGTTTTGGGG